TGGGGAATTCTGGGTGTTGAAGTCCACGCATCTTCAAGTCGCCAAGGTTGAGGAACCCTGCTCTAAAGGTTCATTTGAGGCACCTCTTTGATCATTAAGGGCATGTTCACACAACATGCTTAGACCTAGCCACGCCATTGTACAAGATGCAAAACTTCATTCGTAGATTTAGGCTTGTTTGATTTTTTTTAATCTGGGCAGTTGGGTGAACTCAATTAGTTTATGATTCAATATTGACCGAGAATCGAGAAAATGGGTAAACTCATTCACCCAGTTAAGCATATTGTCTTCATAGACTCAGATCACTGGCCCGTCTGGATTCAGGCAGTTTTTCTTCTACCTGAAATCTCTGCATGCACTGAGTGACAGCCTATTTATTTATTTATATAATTTGTATGCCACCCATGAAGTGGGAACTTAACCAACAAATAGAAAAGATTACCCAGCCTTTGCTTGATGAGTTCCCCCAGTCTCTGACATCCTCTGTCCTTACCTATCCAAGCAATAGTAAACTTTTTCATCTCATTCCCTTGCCAAAAAAGGAGCATTCCAATAGCTCAGAATATGTAGCTCAGGGTTGAACTGTGGAGTCCTTGGTGCTCTCTGAGCTTGGTTGTTTGCTTGCAGACGTTTCGTTACCAAACTAGGTAACATCATCAGTGTTAGTGAGTGTGGAGTTTGCTCCCTGTTAACATATAGTAGCTTGCCCTGCCAGTTTTGGTGGATGTGTGGTTTTCTCCTTGGTAGTTCCTTGATTAGGGTATTGTTTTCTGCTTGATTGTTTGCCTGGTGTTAATCCCACCAGGTTTCCTGTGGCTTCAGCACATGATGGCATCATTTTTGCTTTGGAAAAAAATCTCAAGTTTCCCCTCCCCTATACCACTGAGAATATGTACATGGCACGTCCAGTATTAGAGGTAAGGACTGGTGAACATTAAAGGGGGCAGTGGGGAAACATCACTCTTTAGTCGCAGTGCCTTATTTTCTGCGTCACACATATACACTCACTGTATTTTTATTTATTCATTTGTTATTAACATTTCTATGTCATTCTGCTCCCAATGGCTCAAAGAGTTGTACACAGAAAAACCAGAGGATAAAACAACAACACAATAAGAATGTATATTATAATGGCACTGACCAACAGGGCAGATACCAAAATGTAACGTCCCCCAAATACTCTCTCCCAGAGCCATTTCTTTACAATAACTCATTAGGGTGGAAATAATTCTTATATATGAGGAGAGGTGCCACCTTGAGAAGGCCCAACTATGGAATCCCTGGAGATGGACCTTTTTTGGAGATAGGACCTTCAACAGTGTCTGTCTCCAAACAGGCAGATTCACTTCAGAGTAGATTTCAAAGATAGTCAAACATATTTATGTGTTCACGTCAATATATTTGTATATTTTTTCACCCTAGCATTTTTCCTGCATGTGCAGGGCCCACTTTTTTTTTTTTTTGATCAACCAAATGTTGATCCGTTGGTTGCGACAGGAATTGACCGACCGGCTTGTTGCTGGAGTCCAAGTTGTCAGGGGCTGAGAGAGAATGACTGGCCCAGTCACCCAGCCAGCTTTCATGCCTAAGCCAGGACTAGAACTCAGAGTCTCCTGGTTTCTAGCCTGATGCCTTAGCCACTAGACCAAACTGGCTCTCACTGTTGACCTCAATATACTGTAAGAAAATTAGTAGTGAAATCTTATGTGTTTTGTGAGTAGTAAGTGCCAGTTAGTTCATAAAGATTTAGGCCAGAGTGAGGGTGGAGGTGGGATGCTGTTGTATTGAATGGGGTGACTTACAACAAGCACTGCACTCTGCTACTTTGAATTTTTAATTCCTAAAATGATTTCTGATAACTTTAAGCAAGTGGCACCATTTAGCTGATCTTGGATGATCTTGAAAAAGAGCAGAGTCAGACCACGTTAGTTCTTGGATGGAAGACCGCTTGCAAATCTCAAGGCTGTAGGCTAGAAGAAGGCAGTGGCAAACCATTTATTTATTTATACATTTGAATTTATTTAGTTATTTGAATTTATTTATTTGAATTTATCTGAATCTAGGAGGGAAGGAAGGCACAGTGCATGCGAGCGAGCGAAGGAGGAAGGAGGGCCAACAAAATCCTGAGCTGCATTGTGGCAAGCAGCCCCAGAGCCACGTGGCCCTGCCTCGCGGGGTGGCAAGCAGCCCCAGAACCACGCGGCTCTGGGGGTGCTTGCTGTCCTGCAAGGCAGGATGCAGGGCAGCCAGAGGGGCAGAGATGGGGGGGAAATAGGTGGGTTGGGGGAGTTGGAGGCAGTCCCTTACCTTACTGAGGCTTGGACTGGGTTAGGTCCTTGGCTAACAACCAGTGGAATTCAGTTAACGACAGCAGTGGGGAGTGCTGGGATTGCTGTTGCTAAGTGATGTGGTCACGTGACATCTCACTTTACAATCGCATTGCTTAGTAATGGAAATTCCAGTCCAACTGTGGTCGTAAATGGAGGACTACCTGTACAGCCTTTCAAGTCAAAAGACCAAGTAGAAATAACCATGGAAGAGTGGTGGATAGGATATGTTTCCCAGTTGGGTTCCTTCTGCCTAAACTTTCTTTGGCTTGAAGCTTTCATGGATGCATAAAAATTAACACATTGGACAAATAGACCCATTTGTTACTAACATAGATGGGGCCAGATAGGATTCCCAATCTTGTGATTAAGCTCTGATCACATCTTTTGCAAGTAAACTGCAACCAGATCAGATGCATTCTACTCCCCTCCCTACAGCAGTACCTTCTTTTTTCCTTTCCTCCAACAACAATTCATAAAAAACGTACTTCCTTCTTCTAGCAACTTTGAATAAAAAAATGTGTTATTTGGGAAGGGGAATGGTTTGGTTTTGGTTTAGGGCAGATGCCTCCTTGTTATGGGTAAAGTCTCCTTTTCCCCATGACATATAATTAATTCTAAGATTCCAACAGCCTTCAGCTCAAAATTCTGTTAACTTCAATACCAAGAATACAAAGAAAATGCCCCTAAATGTGTACTTCAGTACCTTACCTTCCCATTCTGTAAATGCATTTAATACATTTACTCTCTCCATAAAATGCTTATTTGCATTCAAAAATGAAAAATGCAAATTACTCCAAATGCATAGAATTGGGCTGACATCATGTAGCGCACTAAGAAATCCCATTGAATTCTGGAAGTAGCAGGTCCAACATATTTGCAAGACACCTAAGAGGGAGAGGGAGAACTTCCATGAGGGATGGGCGAAGTTTGTATTATTCACTCAGTTCACTAAAACAATACATTTCAATACAAATATTTAAAATAGAAATCAGCTTTCTTAGCCCAAAGTACTCAAAGCCATTTACTACGATCTCATTATAAATGGAAGAAAAATGAAATATCAGTTTAAAAACAGCTGATATGTTTGAATCAAAGTAAGGATCAGAATTGAAACACCTGATGGAGCTGCCCTTTATCCACAGAGCTGTAGCCCACCTAAGCTGGCAAAGCTAGGTTTTCCTCGCTCTCAGAAAAGCTAGCAGTGTTGAGGGCAAGAGGGTTTCCTATGGGAAGATGTCTTACGGCATTGCAGGAGTAGAGACAGTTTTGCCTCTCGTTTCAGACACCTTGGAGACTGACCTCATCTTTCAGACAGGCTGTTATCAGGGATGGTGTGTGTGTGTGCGAGCAGCTACAAGTGCACAATTGAAGCCCCACCCATTTCTATGCGTGCCACATGTGCTTTAGTAATTCCAAAAAAGATGGGGCATGGATTGCACAGGACCAGCCAACATAGAAAACTTTGTAGGATAAATCTAATTTATTGGCCGTACCAATCTTTCCTACAGCATATAAATAATTCTGTGGGCAAACATACACATTTTGTATCTGTGTTCAAGTAACTGGAAGGAAGCTCCACTTTGTTTGATGGAGTCTGCATATTTTGAGCGTAACCAATATTTCACAAATGTGAAAAATATCAGTTTTGTTTAGCAGAAGCACGTGGAATGTATCAGATTTGGAGAATTTTTTTTCTTGGCCTAAAGGTCACATGGCCTTGGTCTCTTCTGGAAAGGGAATACTAGTGTCAAGGTGGCCAGAATCAAATCCCCCCACTCTTTCTTTCTCTTACACACACACAAATATATATATTCATTCACAGGCACTTGTAACATATGTGCAGCCAAGTGTGCAGAAATATCACCTCCAAATTGTGTCTTGCTATTACCATATTCAATGTAGTGTAGTGATTAAGATATTGGCCTTATGGTTATGGAAGGGTTATACTTAGACTCTTCTTAAATATCGACCAATGCATGATTAAATGTTTGAAATGATTGGATGAAGACTACTTTTCATTCTGTCCAGTTAAAAAAAAACTCTCAAAACTAAATGGCTGAAATGTAATCTTGAGAATTATTTTAGTATTTTCTAAATACTTCTTTATTAAAGTGCTGACTTCACCTTCCTTCTGTGAAGTAAACAGAGAGGCGATGGCTATGTATGCTGCCTTGAGCTCCTGCAGAACAGTTATAAATCTCAGAAATTAACATCTGAGAGGTGAACAGAGTCTTCTTGAACAATGGAAAACTCTTGTTGTGCCTGGTTCTCAATCATCCATTTCCCTTGGCCACCCCCATGACACATCTGCAGATGGTGAGGTGCTACAGAATTATAAAAGAAGTATCCAATTGCTTGTAAACATAAGGATGTCGTTCAGATAGTTTTTTTTTTTTTTTGCAAGAACTGAACTAAACCATAAATGTTTGGTTTGGGCTTAGTGGGCTGTGTGAATCCAGCCATTATGGTTTGTTTGTTTTATGGCAAGGATGGGCTCTTGGCCGTATACGGCCTCCCACTACCACTTTTATTATATTTTATTTTTTAAAAAGATGCAAAATATTGCATTAAGGCATTCGTTGGAGGCCGTTTTTCAAAGGAGAGTATTAAACCTTTTTAAAATATGATGGCATACTCAATAAGCCACAGTTCATTCAACCCTATTTTAGCATGAGATGTTTATTATTCCATAATGTAGGTCCCATAGCCACTTGTTACTTCCACTAGCTTGTTCTTTACAGATCTGCCATGATGTTTCCAATCATTCTTTCTGTTTTTTCCAAGTACTTCCATACTCCCCAAAATAAAAACGCCTGGAAAAAAAAAAGAGGGAAGATCCTGACCAAAATATTGTTGAGACATCGAAGAGAAAAGTTGCTTTCCCAAGCAGCATGAATATAGAAGGAAGTACCATGACTTTTTACAATGTTTGCTATTTTGTGAAATTCAAGACGGGTTACCTCGGCTTTCGAAAAGAAATTAAGAAAAATATTTTGTTCAATGTCAGGTAAGTTTTAACTGAGGAGGGGGCTTAATGGGCTGCAATGGGTTAAGCTTGTCTGGACTTGGAAACTAAGCAGGGTCAGGCTTGGTTAGAACTTAGATGGGAGATCACCAGGGAATCCCAAAATGGCGGCTATGACAGTGTGATAGAAGCTCCGCCTGTTTTATAGGGGCGGAGCTTCCATAGCCCTATTGTGGCCACTCTCTTGACTTTTTTGAGCACATCCTGCAGATACACCTGACTATAAGCCACCCTGGGTAGTTGAAAAACACGCCATAAGTAGACAATGACAAGCCACTTCTGTAACACCACCAAATATTTTTCATGAACTTATCCACATAGCCCCCCAAAATCAGGTTCGATTTGGGTTTATTTCTACCTTTGAAAACCTACTCTTTGAGCCAGGCCTTTTAATGTTGTTACTGAAGTTTTGGAATGTTTGTTTATTATTTGTCCAACCTGTTCAATGGAAAGTTTGATGTTGATCCGTTGCCATGTAACTCACTTTTAATCAACGCTGAAGCTATAGAATTCAAATAAAAGGTAAAAAGAAGAGAAGAGGAGCCAAAATGCAGTCCTGGTTAATTCCTTTCTGTATGTGAATTTTGACAGATGACTATCACTGCCAAATCTACATTGGATGGATATATTTTCATACAGCTTTTTAATTAAGAATAATGTTCTCTAGCCTATGAAACAGAGTGTCAGTTTGCATCATATTCTATCCCTAGTTATAGAGTCAAATGGTGATTTTAGATTACTAAAAGTGATTCAGAAAGTGCCTCTTGAACTCCAGTGGGGATGACATTTTTTTTTATTATTAAGGACTATAAAATAGCAGATGGAGTGTTCTCCCTCCTCTCTAAATTCTGCTTGTTCATCTGCTAGAGTTTTTCATACTGCAGATAAGTCTTATTTCTCTGTCATTATGTTTCCCAGTGCCAGATCCTAGGGTCCAGAATAAACTACCTTCCAAGGAACAATATGAGCAAGATACAGTATATTTTGCATTTGAAATCACTGCACACTGGGTTGGACTCAACATTTTTGAAAGGATCACAGCTGGAAGCATCCAGCAGGACTCAGCAGTGCTTTAGATATGATCCCCCAAAGGTGCTTCAGAGCACACTCCTGCACGAATGTAGCCCCTCTGCAATTCTTTAAAGCACCCGTGTCTTTTCTCAGGATTGTGCAGCTGCTGTTCATGGAAGGCAGCTATGTGATCCCAGGAAAAGACACAACTGCTTTGAAAAAGGTTTCAGACAACTGCTACAACTGTGCTCTTGCATGGTCTGAAGAACCTTTTCCAAATTATTTCTGAAGCACTGCACAATCCTAGCAGTGAGGATACCATCTAATCCTACTGTTATAGATAAGTTTTGCATGTGGGCAAGGCTGTTCAACGTGTCTCTAGGATGTTTACCTAACTGTTTAAAAACCTTCAAGAGAAAGGCTGATTCCAGAATTAATACATGCTTTTTTGAGACCTAAAAACATTCATGATTAGGCCTCTTCTGAAAAAAGTCACGCCTAAACATACTGATCTGTGATTGATGTATTTTAGTTCAATCTGTGATTGATATATTTAGTTCAATTTTACCATGGCTGTTTTTTTACTTTGCATATCTTGTAAATGGCTGAGACTTGTGACACTATGATGGGATATACATTCAATACATTCAATAAATAAAGTATTGGCTTGTATCTAATGTTTAATTTCTGAGCAAATTTCTAAAACTGGTGGTAGCCGCTCAAACTAGCAGGAGATTGATTATTTGGATTCATCCCAATCCAGGTTCAAGTGGGTTTTGTGATAGAAATACTCTTGGTTACTCTCATGGCTGGCTTATGTTAAGGAATTTGCATACGGAGTACACTTAGCTCCATTAGTCCTTCTAAATCTCTCAGTGTCTTTCAGTTCCATGTCAATCTCATGGCATTCTTCTGGTTCATCTGGCTGGGTTGGGTTTCAAGAACACTTATTTATGGTAGTTCTTTTTCACCTAACTGATGATCTGCCAGTAATGCTGCAGGAGGTAGCCTTCACCTGTGAGATACACTGCGATGTGGCTTTGTGTCACCACAGTGAGGCACTCCATGAAGCAGTGCAAAATCCTCTTTATCATTTCTGACTCTTGCAAAATCTTAGCAAGTCTGAGTGCAAAATCCCCTTGAAGTTGCTTCAGCAAGCAACACAATCCCTTGTAGTAAAGTGAAGCACCCAAGTTGCTTCATTTCTCCTCCCTGAAGCTTCCAACACCTTGTCCTTTGAGACTTGCAATGACAGGTGCTGTGCGTGTGCAGAAGTATCTTCTGATGCTTCCCGTCAACTTCATTTTGCTCTTAGAAATGAGGGAAAGAACTGTATTATATCGTAAAAAGCTTCAATGGATTGCTTTGCTTGAACCTTTGAAGGCTGTGAAATAGTGCACAATTCCATGTTTACCATCTTAATACAAACCCAACCTGCTGATTTAGGCTTTTAACATCTACCTGAAACTACTAAGTGTTCAAGTACTAACTATTAAATAGTTGTTTGAACATTAGGGTTCAGTGTCATCTCCACACTTGGAAGATGTGCAGTGGTACCTTTGATTATCCTCAGTGAATCTTAGTGATGCTGAAGAACTGCTGAACAGGTACTTAGAAGCAGCTTTGAAATTGATGAAGGCAACCAATTCAAACTATGAGAAATTAATAGATAATAATTGCATAATTTAATCTGCCTGTGTATGTATGATATCTCCTAAAAGATTAAAAAAGCAAAATGTGTAGTTAGTAATACACACACAGTAAACATCTCATGAGTAACAAATTGATTTTATTTTACAGTGGTATTATGAACCCTGGTCTTAATGCAATTTTAGGACCCACTGGCTCTGGCAAATCTTCGTAAGTATTAAAATAATGAAACAAAACCCTACTTTATGATCCAGTTAAATGTATTTTCCAGTTGAGTACATTCACAGACAATGACTGAGTTCCCACAATGACTGAGGATATATTTATTAATGAGGAGAAAATGGCACATTTCTAAAAAAGTTCCATTCCAAGCTAAAAATTTACAAGACTTTTGAACAATTGAAATTCTTGAACAGTTAAAGCAACTGCATTTTTTCCCAGGCTTTTTTGAAAGCTCCTGTCTCTCTGTGTGTGCATGCAGAGTGAAATGCTGCTTTCAAAGGATTTGCACAGCTGTAATTGATGTGTTCTTGAGATGTAGGTCTTTCTCAGTAATTTTAATGGAGATGGTTTTTCTTTTTCTTTTAGGCTATTGGACGTTTTAGCTACAAGGAAAAATCCCGCAGGGCTGTCTGGTGATATTTTGTTAGATGGCATGAACCTGCCAACACATTTTAAATGTATGTCTGGATATGTTGTACAGGTAAGCCTTTTGTTACTATGTACAATCCATATATTTTATTTCCCAGCAGGCTATAGTATAGAACACTTTTCATTTCTGAATCAAGAGCTGTTTATTTATTGAATTGGCCAAATAGAATGGTTGCTTCAGAAACATATTCCAATATCCACTATGGTTATATTGCATACTCTAATGTAAAAGATTGTAGGGTGTTTTTTTTTAAAGAAGAGCATCTAAACAGGAAGAGGAAGTTAAATCTAAAGGAATGTTCTGGGGTTGTAAGACTTGAACTGAATATACCAAGAGAAGGGATGGAAGTCATGTAAAACCCTATACATGGGGGCATGTCATCATATAACATCTGTATCTCTGCTTTGAGAGCTTTTCAAAAGAAGGTAGACTGTATGTATCATTCTGAGAATGTTCAGTACACTCTTAGTGCCTAATAACGATTGTACAATAGCAGTATAAGCAAGTATAATGTTCAAATGAAAATGTTCAGTTGTTTTTTTAATCTCTAAGGATGACATAGTGATGGGGACCTTGACAGTCAGAGAAAATTTAATGTTTTCAGCAGCCCTTCGTCTACCTTTATCTATGAGCAAATATGAAAAGAAGCAGAGAGTTGAGCAGGTTCTCAAGGAATTGGATTTGGCTAAAGTTGCAGATTCTAAGGTATCTATATATGTATTAGCATAGTTTTGAATACTATATTTAGTGTTGTAAGTACTTATGCTTATAAGTAACAGCACAAAACCACCATCTACAAAGGGTGGTTTTGTTTCAGGAATCCACAAAAATATGTCTGGGGTTGCATGTCAGCTGCAGCTTGGTCTTTGCCCATGTAATCCTAAAATGAGAAATTTTAGTCCATTAGTGTTGCTCTATTTTGCAGGAACAATGATGCCTGAGTGTTTTAGAAGCTGCAGTTGGGGCTGGCTGAGCTGTAGAAAAGATCCAGTTTGCAGTTGCTGTATTATTCTTAGCTTAACAAAATGAAGGAAGCTGAAGGGCCTGCCAAAAGGGGGAAATTGTGGATCATCTCATCTGCATTGCTTCCCTTCTTGGATCCACATGGAGATAGCACAGACTGACTGTGTTTGGTGGTGAAATTAAATTTAACTTGTTAAAACCAAGGGAATGGGTTAACTGAAAATGCAATAGGCCATGAGATTATGGGATGGGGTGCAAATAAACCCTTTGTCAGAGAGATCTCTAGTGATCTGAGGGAAGGAAAAGAGCATGAATGAGGGAATGCAAGACAGTGAGTGCAAGCAAAGCAGCACAAATGAGGTTGTAGAGAAACAGGGCTGTTGGTCTGTGCTGGAGAGAAGAGAGAGAGAAGAAAGGCAGGAAGATGATCACCTGGCTGGAAAACAGGTGGTAGATGAGCATCTGGGGTAAGAGAGAGAAGCATCTTTACCAGTCCTCCTTTTGGTAAATGGGTACTTTGAGACTGGACACACTCACAGTAGATACCAATTTGTGAATGAAGATTTGCCCAAGGCAGCCACTTTGTGAGTGCATCAATGACATGCATGTTCTCAAAGTTCCAAATGTACCCACTGGTCCAAAAAAGTTGCTATATTTGTGTAGGGCTTAGGTTGCAGGGTTCTTAGAGGTCTTTCTGGCAACAGAAGGTCAAGTGAGTTCCATATAAATGTGCTTTCTTTCACCAGTGCATGAGGATAGGTTGCTTAAGATGACCATCTGAAACCCCTTAATGTATGCCACCTTTCCATATCCTTTCAATGATATCCCATTTGATAAACTCAGTCATTATTAAGAGAGTATTTTATGCTAAATGAAATATTTTTCCACACCTTTAATGAAATGTTACAGTTTCAAGACGTTTATTTTGCCATTTCCTTTGCTGCACTAGGTTGGGACCTATTTTTCTCGTGGAGTTTCAGGGGGGGAGAGGAAAAGGACCAGCATTGGATTAGAACTCATTACTAACCCCAGAGTGTTGTTCTTAGATGAACCAACAACAGGATTGGATGCTAGCACAGCCAATGCTGTCCTGCTGCTCTTAAAAAGGTAATCTGTGCTATTGGAAGGTGCAAAATTGTCTTTTGGAAGATGTACTCTCTGAATATTTTTTTTACATAATGGAGTTCTTAGTGTTTTGAAAAACATTGTTTTTTTGGATTCTATTTTATGATTTTAGTTTGTATATTTTTGCAGAATGAACACAGCTATTTTTCAGTTCTTGCACAGGATCTGGATAACTTCTTTCCAAAAATCACTTCTATTTATGGGGGCTATTGCCTTTTTTTCTCTCCAGGCATTCAAAGTATGCTGTTTTGTACCCGATGAAATGCAGTCTTTCTTAGATAAAGTAATCATTTTAATTACCTGTTAAGATGTGGTTACTTAATTTTCTCAGGTGTTTTTGTTGTGAGTACTCTCATGGCTCAGTTTTCTACTTTTGTCTTTTCTTCAGGTTTGGCAAGTAGTTCACACCCATGTTGATTACTGATCTAATTTATTTCTGTTCAGAAGGGGAGAAACTAGGAAGGCAGGTTTTCTCTTCTGTCTGTTTCTCTCTGAAGCTCTTTAAATTGGGATCCTCCAATTTATACAGGGTAATTGGCAGTCCTAAAAAATAAAGTTGAAAAGATGGTGGCAGCATAGAATGACTAAAATAAAGTATGACTGTTAAAAGGAAGGGGGAAAAAAGGAAAGGAAAATATCAAAGGAAAAAAATCCCCCAGTACTCTAAAAATATTGCCAAAAGAAACAAAATGACTTAATACTGTGCCAAAATCTGCCCTCTTCCCCAGAACAGAGGGGTATTTTTCTTTACCTCATTGTCAGGGTGGTTTAGAATTATTCTGGGAGAGCTTTGGAACTTATTGTTATGGAAAAGGGTGTTATTTCATTTTTCTTATTATATATTTCTCTATCACACTGCAGTCTTTCTGACATCTTTGCTTCCTTGTCTGAAAAGCCCCAGTTGGAAGAATTCTTCCATGATGGGATTTAATTTAAGCCTGGGAAGTTCCAGAAACAGAAATAATAACACCCCTGCCCAGTCTAAACCCCATCTTATGCCTACTACTTATCCATGAGAAATATACCTAAACATTCTTCACCTTGGGCTGGAAAATATTCAAGCAATTGATTTTCTCTCCAATGGAATGAGAATCACTCAATTCTCAACATAAATTCAAGAGCTTCCCAGGGGGCTGTAATGGTCTCACTCCTGCCCAAGTCCTTGGTGACATTGATTTTTCATCCTTGGTACAAGGGGCCATGAAAGTCTTCTTCATTATATGTCATTATTTCATTTCATATGTCTTTTAAGAAGAACTGAGCTAAAGCTGGGTGGTTTTAGTTGAGGAGGGCTGGGGTTACAGGACCATCAGCAAGAAATGTTTCTGACTGTTACAGCATCATTCAAGATTCTGACTCATTTTCTCATTTCAAGTTGTATGCAGAGCATTAAAAGTAAAGAGTAATGCTCTTCCCTGTGTTGCACCCAGGATGTCACTGCAAGGAAGGACAATCATTTTTTCAATCCATCAGCCCCGGTACTCTATTTTCAAGTTGTTTGACACCCTGACGTTACTTGCTGCTGGAAAGCTTTTATATCAAGGGCCAGCTGACAATGCTCTTCCCTATTTCAAAAGCCTTGGTGAGTTTTCATGGGGTGTGCTCATCCTTGTCTAATTTGATTAGCACTCTGCCTTTCTATTCAGGGAGCTAACAATACAAATAAAAATGGAAGAGGTATCATTTTAATAAAAACAGTTAAAATCGGTGATGCACTAAATCCAGTTGAAAAAGCCTGGCTGAAAAGGAAGAACTTGATCTTTCCTAAAAGCAGAGAAGGTGGGGCCTGAGTACAAGGCAGTGGGTTTCACCACTTGGGAGCTGTTACAGGTAGAAATTACGGATGCGCCCAGGAACATTCTGGACAGCAGGAATATGGCTTGAGCAATGATTAGTGAAGCAGGTTTTATAAGTATCACAGAAAGAGTTTTATTTTAGGAAATACACTGTAGACCTAGTTAGCTACATCCGATCTGGAGGGAAGTCCAAGACAATGTAGCTGTGCTTGCCCTCTGTAACAACATTCTCCCTGAAATTTCTTCAGCCCTGATCCTGTTGTGCTTTTGTGAAGCCTTGAAGATCTGGCTTTTTCAGCAGACCTGGGGTAGTATGTATGTGTGGAGGAGGGGGGAGGTTGGCTTAATGGTGGTTGTTAAGCAAATCACTGCAGTCATTAAGCAAATCACGTGACTGTTAAGCGAATCATGTGGTCATTAAATTAATCTAGCTTCTCCAATGGACATTTTTTGCCAGAATTCGCTTAATGACCACAAGATTTGCTTAATGACCATGGTGTTTCACTTAACAGCTGTAGTGATTCGCTTAATGACTGTCATAAAAAAGGTTGCAAATCGTGATCAAGTGACCGTAGGGGGTGGTGCAACAGTTTGCAATGGTTGTAAGTGCAAATGTAAGTTGTAAAGCACTTTTTCCAAGGCCGTCATAACTTCAAACCATCATTAAACGAATGGCCATTAAGTGAGGACTACCTGTATTGTTTTCATAATAGGTTGCATTGTTCTCCCCAGAGTGGATATTTGGCATTGTTACTGTCACTTTTATTGTTTTTTTTTTTACTTTTTGATTGCTGTTTTAACCCTAATCATTCTACTTTGCAAATGGCCTAGAGTTGTGATAGAAATTGAGATGGCTTATAAATTTGATGAAATAAATTGTAAATAAAATATAAAATAAAAGATGTTCCATGTGTTTGTGCCTGGGGACAAAGGCAGAAGGAATTAATCTGAGGTTAGCAATCTCTCAGAGTAGGGATCCTTAACCTTTTTGTGCCATGGACCTTTTGAGAGTCTGATAAAACCTGCATACAAAAAAATGTTTAAATGCATAAAATGAAATACATTGCTCTAGATATAGATTTTGTATGACAAAGGAAACAAATTATGCTCAAATAAAGTTATCAAAATATTACCAAAATAACAAATATGTAATATAATATATGTGCTTCTTTATTAATCCATTAAATCAATTACAAGACTATACCTTTTTTTAGAGCATATTACTTTTAGATAGTAAGATTTATTGACTTTTTTTTTTTTTTTAATCTGCACTCAGTCATTACCGACTCTGCAGTGACTGCCTGGACGAGTCCTTGCAGTTTTCAAGGCAATTGTTTTCGGAAGTGGTTTG